TTTTTGCACCTCGGATGGTATGCTATCCATTTACAAAAATGCGTTCGAGATTGAGCACGTGTATTATTAGCGACTGAGTTATTTCGTTCGTGCATTTCAAATTCCGATTTTCTGCAGAAAGTCTGCCAAGGTCAGGTATTACGTTCTCTGAATGATTACGATGTGTTTTTTATATCTTCACATTACCTTCGAATTAATCACATATACATACACCATCCCACTCATACAAACTGCATATTAACAGCAACGGTGACGAGTGCCAGTATCTCCACGTAGACCCCTCTGCGAAGATACAGGACTGCCCCTGGTATGCGAGAGGCTTCTGCAAACATGGTATGTACTTTATCAACCCTATCTGTATTGTGTCACTGCTGATTTTTTGCCCATCCTTGCATTTACTCACCTATCGTCGCTTACTTATCCTCCCAGTTACCCACCTATCGTTGCTTTCTCACCCTCCCATTTACCTTTCTATCGTCCCTATACACATATACACACACTCACAGGTCCTGGTTGCAGGCACAGACACTCGCGTAAGGTACTGTGCCAGAACTATCTCTGCGGCTTCTGTCCGGAAGGACCGAACTGCAAGGCGGCGCACCCCAATTGGGACACAGTCACTAAGATTGGCCACGACGGGGCTGACGGATCCACTCAGGATGTCATACACATCACCGGAGACGGCCTGGGAGGTTTGACAGGTAGGTGTAAAGGAAGGGTGTTTTGAGAGTCACAGTTTGAGCTCTGATTGGTCTAGCAGACAAAAACGGACGCAATCATAGACACCAATCGGGGAATGACACCACAGAGTGGCGCTACCACTGTTGTTGTATGTGCTCCAGATTTTGGATGTGTCTCGTTTCGCCCAGCCGTCCCCACGTTGTTCTTTGTTATCTTTCCAATCGTATGGGCTCTGGATGTATATTCATAGCATTCATAAGAGAATATATTCTTCACCTTATGTACATTTATATCATTTGCAAGAGAAAAGTTCGTCATCGTCAACCTTATGTGCGTGTATATATATATTCATAACATTCATGAGAGAATTTTTCATTAATCTGCAACTCTTCTCGACCCACACCAACACAACACCAACACCTGTCCGGAGTAGACAAGGACCTCGCCTATCAACAGCGCCAGCGTATGCATCAAGAGAACATGAAAGCCCAGCAAGCACAGTACCAGCAGCAGCTGGCTTATCAAGCACAGCAGTCAGCTAATGGAGGGGACCAACAGGGGGGCATGGGCATGGGAGGGGGTGGCAGGGGCGGCAGAGGGGGTGGTCGAGGGGGCTATGAGGGGGGTAGGGGTGGATATGATGGCCAGAGGGGACGGGGTAGAGGGCGGGGAATGTAGGTGGGAAGCTGGAAAAGCCGAAAGGGAGGATGCAGGATCTGAAGAATGTGGGGTAGCTCTGGGAATATCTCCGGAGTGATTTCCTCTGACACAAGAAGCTCAGTTGCTGGAGGGTGGCCGCTGAGGCCGGGATCGAGTTCGGGCGGGTTAGGTTCACACACTTCTTGTGATGGTATGCTTGAGAAGAGGCTGTGGCATGAGTGGTTCTGGTGGATGTGCACGTGAGGGTGTGTGGTCCTACATATACAGCAAGCGTTAGAGACTGTGACCGATACAGGCCACACCGCGGTGACACTTGAGTGCTGTCGCTGTACGCTGTATACTGCCCTGACGAGCACCGACAGATTCTAGAGTGGTCTGACTGCACTACACAACACCAACACAAGGCTGGTCTACGGTGTTCCGAAAGCAGGTCCATCTCGTATCTCGTACATGCGTATCTCAAACCCTAAACCCTGCTTTATGTAGAATTATAATCATATACGGCCATGAGTCGGGAAAGTCTAACAACGGCACATACAGTGCGCCCATAATCACACATTGAGGACCGCGGTGAAGTGGGGGCCAACTTGTGACCCCCGACCATGTACGCAGAATAGGGCCGAAACGCACCCAGCAAATATTAATACAATGAAAACAGATTACTCGGCAACAGTGAGGAATGCAGTGAGGACTGAGGTTGGTGCAGAAAAGCGCCAGAATGAATTATGGCTGGAGCCATATGTGGAAGTTGATGGGCCAGTGCAGCAGATATGCTATTGTATGATCTGATGATCCGCCCTATATGGCTGGTGCCTGGACCAATTTGGTCCTGCTATATTGGGCTGTGGCCCGTAGCAGAGTTGTAGGTCCCGGAAATGGTTTTAGCTCGGGTTTGGCCTGCACAAGTGCGCAGTTGGCAAAATAACTTTGGGGCGCACTCGTTGCCATGTCACCTCACGAGCTGAAAATGGGGCCCGAGACCACATTAAGTTAGTTCGCAAATGCGCCTGTTGTCAGAAAATTCGGACTCTATTAGGTGCAGCCAAGATACCTGTTCGAAGGTCTCTCAAGTACACTTCTGCAGAATTGCTGAATGATATTTAAAATTAGAACCGATTTATTGGACACCGATAGTGCGGTACACAGAGTGAAAGGCTATTTCATAGGGAGGCTCGTTGATGGCAGAAGGGCCAAGTGGAGATAATTGATATAGATTATATATGAATGGCAAAGGCTCAGTACAACCATTGGGTTGACAAACGCTGCATGACTGACTCCCACCAATAATAAATCTGATCTGATTAACTGTCTGATGGCAGTCGGTCAACAGCCATATATAACTTCCCGGAATTTACCAAGAAGTACGAATACAACGTGCACTATTTCTTTATTGAGATTTCTGCTGGACAGGAGCGAAGCATGGCGAACTCTCATTGTCACTCCAATTACAAGCATTTAAATCACTATACTTTCACGACTTATATTGTACATACCAAGTTGCTTCATGTTAATGTTCGTTCTGAATTTTGGCCGGAAAATATCACATTTGTGTACTTTTCGGTTGCATTGATATATAGTGTGGTAGTGCAAGCACATTCAGCATATGGTAGATTAAAAGCACATAAACTAGTATGCTTGTGTTGCATGTCAAAGTACACAGCCAATAGCGATATTGAAAAGCACATAAACTAGTATGCTTGTGTTGCATGTCAAAGTACACAGCCAATAGCGATATTGAAATCAATAAAGTACTTATATCAATATGCATATGGGTATCTATGTGGTCGACTGGCACCAGGAACAGCGTATCAATATACACTTTCACTATGACGACTGCATCGCATATGTACGAGGCAATAAAGAGAACATAATGCAGTACGTTGTCCAATTCACAGCCTCAAGTGACATAAAAACATCTCCTTGTAGTTGGCTATGAAAATCCTAAAACAAACTAAACAAACATTGTCGGTCCGGTTTTTACGAGCCATGCATAATTGTCTTAGAACCTTTAACCCTAAAAGTTAAAAACCCAAGAACTCCTACTTTGATGTATTATGTATCTAGTGGTCCGGTGTATTATATTTACCTCTCTGCTGGGCCAAACTCTGAGACTCTCCCCAGTCCGCCACAAGCGGCCAAAGCCCAGAGCAGATGGGAGTCTCTCAGTCAGGGTCTGAAGAGAGTCCACACCTCCAGTATGTCACCTACTATAGCATGTATATATGTGAAGGGAGTCCACACCACTAGTATGTCACCTACTATAGCATGTATATATGTAGCAGGGAGTCCACACCACTAGTATGTCACCTACTATAGTATGTATATATGTAGCAGGGATGCGTCTTCAAAACATACATCTAAATAAACGGCTACAAACATTTCTCGAATTGAATATATGAGAGTATAAATATGTTTAAACTAGATATATGTAACTAGATGAACACCTTTGTAGATACACCGTGCGTCATCTTTCAAAATGTTGATCCTAAACTGTAGGCTGTACAACTTCGCCCGTGAGGGCAAGACTGCGACGATGTGCGCATGGACAATCCACTTGGGTACACAACGGCCACAATTAACACGCGTGCACGGGTGGGGAGGAAACTATGGCAGACAATTGAACATTAAAAGAACACTATATTGTTATCAGCCGCTCAGTACATGTTACTTTAGAGGGTATGAGACGGGCACTGGTCCACACACTGCTAGGCCCAGACAAAACATCAGTGTCGACAGTACACCCACTACTTCTGATCATAGGGCTACTAAGTACTATAACGTACCGCAGAAGGACATCGTGTGCTCGGAACTGAGAAATCACAAAAGAGAAAAGTATAGCGAGAAGGCACTTACCCTGGCCAAGCATACACGCACTGTCAGGGCCAACACAACAACTGTCGATGGGAACAACCCTGTTCATATCGGTCGCAAACCACATAGAGATGAGAATAGGAAGTCTGGTAATAGGAAAGCATATCTAAAATCGACAGTCTCAGTTAAAGAATTGTTGCAGACAGCCAAGCACACTAAAGATTACAGTGAAGCAGGCTGTGTAGTGGATATGCTCCTTGATAGTGGTACGTTACAAACGAAAGATGGGCTGAACGCAATCAACATATACAAACAAAGCAGACAGCCGCAGAAGTGTTTGAGGACATTAGAGTATGTGCGTGACAAAGGAGGTAGATTAACGGCATTTCATTACAATCCTTGTATTCATGCGCTGAGTGCAAGCAGAAACTATGCAAAAGCACACTTATTATTCGAGGCGATGCAGAGGCACGGTATTGCTCCTGATGTGGTGACGTATACTACTGTGGTTCAGATGTTCCTAAAGGAAAAGAACATGGCAAAGGCTATGGATTTGTTTCAAGATATGTCGGTCGCAGGAGTAGAACCGAATTTGTGGACATACTCGGTGCTAATGTCTGAGCTCAGTAAGTCTGGTCAATGGGAAGCTGCGATGAGATTGTATGAGAATTTAGAGAGCAAAGGTCTTGAGCACAACACCGTCACGTACAACTCCGCGTTAAAGGCCTGTGCAGAAGGGTTGCAATGGGGTAGGGCGATATCTATTTTCAATCAAATGGGCATGAAAGGTATCGAACGGAATACCATCACCTACAACACTACAATTTCAGCGTGCGCGAAGGGTGGTCAGTGGGCCAAGGCTACAGAATTGTTTGAAGAGATGGAAAGGAAAGGAATCGAACGTAACACCATCACCTACAGTAGTACAATCTCAGCGTGTGCGAACGGTGGTCAGTGGGCCAAGGCTGTAGAATTGTTCGATGAGATGAAAAGGAAAGGAATTGAACGAAATACCATCACCTACAGTAGTACAATCTCAGCGTGCGCGAACGATGGCGAGTGGGCCAAGGCTGCAGAATTGTTTGATGAGATGAAAAAGCAAGGACTTGAACGTGACGCCATAACCTACAGTAGTACAATCTCAGCGTGTGCGAACGGTGGTCAGTGGGTCAAGGCTGTAGAATTGTTTGATGAGATGAAAAAGAAAGGACTCGAACAGGATAACATTACTTACAGTAGTACGATCTCAGCGTGTGGCATGGACAGGCAATGGAGACGAGCATTAGATCTGTTCAACGAAATGAAAATAAAAGGTATTGACCGGGATGTCATTACATACAATGCGGCAATAACCGCATGTGAGAGGGGTGGACAGTGGCAGAAGGCTGTCGCACTTTTCGACGAGATGGCTGACGTTAAGGTTGAACGGAACGAGGTCAGCTACAATACCGTTGTCCAAGCACTTGGAGCACATGGCAGAGGATACGCTCGAGTTGATTCATTATATGAGGAGATGATTTTGAAATTCGCAGCATTTAAAAAGGATTGGTCGGTATTCAATAGAACAAACAAACTAGACCTGCACGGTCACTCAGTGTATTTAGCGCAAGTTGCTATCCGTCGGCTACTCAGGAAGTTGCAAAAGAAAGGAGATTCAAGGAGTGCTCATAACGCGAAGCTGAAGATCGTCATCGTTGTGGGCAAAGGTAACAACAGCGTAGGAGATACGGTGCTGCGGAAAGCAGTACAAGCACAACTGCATACTCTGACACCTCCCATAGTCTCTCACACGCTGTCAGACAATACGGGATGTCTAGGATTGGTTCAAACGGACTTGGACAACTGGCTTGCGCAAAATGCGAAAGTGATACGGTAAACATTAAGTAAAACCTGGCCTTGTAGCACTTTTTTTCGGCACAATGTGTTAGGCTGTGGTGTGTGAACGGTGCCTTCTCAAGCAGTGCCAGCGATGCCGATTCCCCATACCTCCAACTGTGGAGGACTACATGCCATATCATGGCATTTGTTCATCTTACCTTAGCATAGTTAACGCGTTACCTGACATAAATCGTAGTATGCTTAACGTGTCATCGTACATCAGCAGTATCTAGTACGTTCAGATTGCTCAATTGTTACCGTTTTGATTCGTAAACTACAAGTGGAATTGACATCCATTTGGGTTGTCACCTTCTACATTACTCCTCCATCCCACTTCGGATTTAGAATCTTCATCTCTCGCATCTCACAAGTTAGAACATCCTTATGCACCAAAGCTCCACGAGTACAATGTCGGTACCATATGTAAACGCACACACAGTCGCCGAACAAGTAAACCTGTCTTCTATACACAGCACTCTGTGTCAGTACCCTCTCCCACCAAAACTGCATGTTCTCTCTCCCACAAACACTGCATATACCCTCTCATACAAACACTGTATGTCTCTCATACAAACACTGCATATACCCTCTCCATAAACAGCCGCCTATAGACACAGACACTCCGAGTTTATGAACACCCAAGCCACGTTCAAACATATTTATTTATTTTGCCGCACCATCTAGAACAACCTCACGCGTTTGAGCACATTTGCGGTCGTATCTGTAGGTCCACGCACAGCCCCCACATGCGTAAGGCTCTCGTTTGTACTACCCTCAGCGCTGCGTGCCTGCGCCCTTCTCCCACTCCCACTGCTATGTAGTTGCTCTCTGCGTTGTGTGCGGAGTGTTTCAAAGATGGCCGGTGTGATAGTCAGGCTGTTGGCATCGTTGACATCCACCGCGGCCGGATGACCAATCAGAAGCCTCCAACCGGACAGTGCTCTCGCATCCAATTGGCTCGCCTCAACTTTACTCATCTTCTGCATTCCTAACGTCGCACTGCTTGTGGCGTGGTGGGTACTCAGCAAAGCCATGATATCCTCGTCTGTCACGTGGTTAGAATCGTCCCCCCTATCCCCTGTACGTGCTGCTGTGTGGTCGCTGTCGTTACCATCGTTGGTCTTGCTATCGTTACTAGTACTATTAGCGGCTGCATCCGTAGTGTTGCTGGTAGAGCGGGTGCGTTTGGAGTTGCTGTGTGGATTGGACCCAATTGTCGTACGCGGTCTGCTGCGCATGGCCTTTGTTGTCGGATTGGAGTGCGACAACTGCATCAGCTCCTGCTGTGCATGCCTCTCCTCCGCACTAGAAAACCGTAACAGATGTAATAGCACCGTATGCGTACTGTAGTAGAGAAACGGGAACACAGATACTTAATATAGGAATAAGAGTGTAAGTAGATTATGAGTACAGATGAGTAACCAGTTGGTAGTGGTATATGGCTCTAACCAGGTAGATACGCAAGTAAGAGGGCGAGCTGGCTGCAAACACAAACGACCGACATCTACATGTATATATATAAATATATATATATATATATATACATATACATGTAGATGTACTTATAGCCATAGATATAGATATAAATAGATATAGCTATCGATATATTTAAATATATATA